TACGTACTACAACTTAAACTAACTTACCTTCGTTCTTACTATATATATATATATATATATATATATATGTGTGTGTGTGTGTGTGGTAATCACAACTGGCCAAATTGATACTCCAGCTTCTGAACAGAATGGTTTAGATAAAAGAGAACAACCCAGTTAGATAACTACCTTTTGTATCCTTAACCAAAATGTTTCTGTTTCCAAGGTTGGAAGGCAGGTTTTGTACATAATCCACAAGGTTTTGGTTGGGGCTGGTTTTGTACTGTTTTTACTCCACCCACATTGTTGTTTACTGTTACCTGGAAGAGATCAACATAACTTCTTCCGTAATAGTAAACGGCAAACTTCCATTTTGTACCAGATGTTTTGATAAGGAATCTCAAACAAGTAAAGTATTTAGTGCATGTGGTAACCTACCATGGATTGGTTAAACTTTAGTTATCAGAACTTTTTGTTTCCTTACTTCTAAATTATCAAGGTTAAATAGTGAAGAATGCTTTGTGTAATTAAATTCCTAGCCAGAATGTATCTGTGAGAATGACCTGGAGTTAGAACTGTAGAAAAAAAGAATAATAAAAGTGATAAGTTTGTAAGGAAGTTGTTGAACGTAACTCACTTTTGAGGTAAATTCTTTGTCACAAACAAGTTTGCTTAATATGCTGAGGTTTTAAGTTTGATAGTGCATTAACAAGTTTTGTATCAGAAATATTCAGCCTTCTGTTTGTAAAACTAATGAAAATATTACTGTTACAAAGGCCAGCTTAACATTCCATATTCATTTTTAACATATAACTAAGACTACCACCATCACAGAGGTTTATTCTTCTAATGGGTCATGTTTTGGTACAAGTTTATCAAGGAGTAAATAGTACACCATTATAACATAACAGGATATAAGTATATTAATAGCAATTTCACATTGAGAAACTACAGTAAAAACATACACATGACCGAGTTACTACAACTGTTGGCTTGTCTCTGAAATGTGTTGTCTAACCATTTTAAACTCTTGGTTTATAATTTTCCTATTTTCATCATTTTATGCTTCTTTCTCTAATTTGTTTCTAACTCAAGTGTTACACCATTTACATTTTAAAATTTTCCTAAAGTAATTGAAGAATGTTATTTATGAACAGCAAAAAATAATAATTACAAATCATACCTAGTTTGCTTTGAATTATTGGAAAATAAAGTCACAATAGTGTATCATTGTAACTGTAAAATGATAAATCTTGTATATTATGCAAGGTTGCCAACAAAATAAATAACTTCTGAACATAAGTTCCCTGAATGATGAAACAAGCAAACAACATCTGAACATTATTCATTAGCTTTTAACATTCTAACATTTTCTTTGGCCATGATATCCATAATGATTACAAGGTCCAGTTAGATGAGAAAATTGAGATAAGTTTAAATCAATAAACATGGCGCCAGTGACAAACACTCATTCTGAAAGTATTATTGTAATCTGCTCTCTAATTAGATGTGTTCTTTGGTAAAAATAATGCCAAGTCCAGTTTACATAACAATAACAAATAAATTTATTCATATTTGCTACAGTTTTTATTCACTTTGATGCAAGTTGTAGGCTTAAGTTCACAAACAATGTTTGGATATTCCCAGACTAATAGTATTATCTAACTCTGAAATAAACTCGTAGAAATTCCTCTCGGTAATCAACTGTATATTTGCAATTATTCTTATTACTAACTCTGAATTGAATCACTCATTGAATATTCATTAACTGCTCATTACTTCAATAATTCTCATATTTATAATGTACCCTTATTTTCTGCATATTTACAAACTTTCTACATCATCATCATTAGTTCCCTCTAGCAAACATCTAAATTAAGATATTAATTCTGCCTTCAATTTGTTGAATGTTTGTTCACAATCAGTTGCCTGATAAAACTTATTTGGTTTTTCAAATAATGTGTGTAGAGACAAGCCATGTCAAAGAATGACTTTATAAAACAACAACAGTAAGAGCATAGTCCAAGAAATCTTACCTCACATAAGTTCTTCAGTATTGCCAATTCTCAATAGATTCAATTTTAGATGAGTCTTTATACGTTTCTCTCTGCTGACTGTGTGTCCCAGGAAACTCGCCTGTTGACAGAACAATTCACACTTCTTGAGATTCAGCTTAAGGATCTCTTTCCTCAACCAATCCAAAACTTTCTTTAGCCCATCATAACATTATCAAAGGTCTTCCCCTGTGTGACTACTTCATCCAAGTAGATGAGTATAATATTCAAGGGTGGTTCAGGGAAAGAACACACTGCATTAGTCATTGAAATGTCACGTGTATTACATAAGCCAAATGGTAACACAACAAATTGTCATAATCCATTTCCTGCAGTAAAGGCAGTCTTCTCTTTCTTTACTTCATTGGTTTGCTCTTTCTAGAATCCACTCTTAAGATTCAATGTTGAAAACCAATTTGATCCAGATAGAGCATCGAAAGTAGAGTTAATCTTTGACAGTGGGTGGACATTCTTCTTTATAATTTTAATCAACTTTTGGTATTCTACCAGAATCTTGTGGATCCCTCCTTCTTCATCTTCACCAATACAAAAGGTGATACCAATAGACTAGAACTCACTTCTATCACTCCTTGTTATTCATGGCTTCTATCTCTTTTGAAAGCCTTAGCTTGTTTTCAAGAGGGAGTCATATGGCTAGCTGACATATTGGGGCTGTATTTCCAGTATTAATCTTGTAAGATATTTTTCTTGTTCAGTCTCTGAGTGTTGAGATCCAGTGGATAAGGTATCTTGATAATCCATGAGCAAGTCACATAATCTTTCACATTGATCAGCTGTAAGACCTACACAGTTCCAGTCATACAGCTCTTTTAAGTGAACTAGTATGCTGTCCTTATGTGAGGATGTGACATCACTTCCAAAATCTTGTCTCTGATGTTTTCAGATGTGAAAGTACTGCCTGTACAACTTCACATTTTGCAATGTCTCTTTCAGTCTTGACTCAAATTTATGGTCTATTGTGTTCATGGCTTTAATGATGAAATATTTATTATTCAGATCCAAGATATTTCTTCCAATCATTAATCCTTCAGGATATGCTGGAGTGTCCAGTTCTATTACACCCCAATCACTATATGTAACTTTATTCCTAACAAGTCTTTATGAGTATTTTACTTCATGGTGGTACAGTAACTGTCCTCCTTGTTCATCCTCTGGTGTAGTAACTGCCATATAGTGCACAAGAATTTCCTGATCATAGACTGAAGTTATTTGAAGCTAGCCTACCCTTGCATCCATATCTCCACATGAAATCAGTTCCAAATATGCACTCTTTCTTAATGTCAATCACCCATACACCATGAGGTGTAGAGAATTTCCCTACAGTAAAAGTAGCTTCCAACTTTCCTCTTGTTGAAACTTTGTCTACTTGTTGTTTGCATCAATCCATCTTTTTTCTTCATCACTGAAGGCAATTTCCCATCTTTCATTACCAAACTGGGTCAAACTATTGTAGCTGTAGAATAATGTCGATCAACATACTGCAAGGGTTCTCCATCAAAAGACCTATGGACTCCTAGACTGGTTTCTTTAAATAATGACCTTCTTGTCTCATTTTAAGCAGATGGAGTATTCTCAGCTGAACTTTGCTCCATAAGTCCAGTTAATTCCTGTTTCCTAGTGTCTAGTTATCTCTTTGTTGTTCCTTTGATTTGGTGTGCTCAAAGACATCCTTAGAGTATTGTCTCCTTGGTTTATTAACAACTGTTGATTCCTTAAAGTTCTGGTTGTAATGGCAACACTTCCCACAATTATAACAGGTAAAATAATTGAAAAAATCGTACAAAATTCTTTGAAAGTTCAACCAAGATGTCCCTCTCTCATTTTTTTTTTTCAACTCTGTACCCCATTCCAGAACTCTGTTCATACTCACTTCTGCTAAGTGTCATTTCAAACATAATGGATATGGCAGCTACTATTCCTTGATAGTTATGGTTGTCAGCTGGAAGGTTTCTTAATATTGTTAAAACTGGTCCTTTAAAATGGGCAGCATGATGAATAGTTGGTTGTTTACTATTCAAACCCATTCACTCTATTAGTTATTTCAAACTGAGCCTGATATGCCTCCCATAGTACCTTTCAATCATAGGAAATATTGAATTGAAATAACCAAATTCTGGAACTGAGTTAGATAGTAACATGGCTGAATTAGTCCAAGAAGTTCCCAATAGGTTCTCATATTCCATATTATGAAATAAATGGTGTTTTACATTGGAATTCTTGGGCATATGCAGAAAAAGGTGTGGCTGGTAATCTTTACATATACCAGTCCTTTTTCTAAGTGTTTTATTCTGTCATTGATTTTGTTTTTGCTTGTTCAGTTCTGTCATTAGAGCCTTTCTACACTTCAATCTTGTTGTAATCCCTCTGTACATCTCCAGTAGCTTCATCGATCTTGTCTTCCATCATATTTATATTTGTTCCTAATTCTTCTTTAAATATTACACCTCTTTATTTTATCTTCTTTCTTAATGAACTTCTTTTAAAAGTAAAATTTTTGACATTTCATGATTGAGTTATCATCTTGAAGTTTAGTCAAAGTTTTGTTTTATTTTCATCAAAATAATGTTATTTCTGACACCAATGCTGTAACTTACTGTATCATTTGGTGAGTTCTTTTGAATTATTTGGTAAAAATAATGCCAATTCCAGTTCACATAATGATAAAATTAATTTATTTGCTCACTAACATTTGCTAGAGGCTATGTTCACTTTGACACAAGTTGTAGGCCTTAAGTTCACAAACAATATCTGACCAGATATTCCAAAACTTATGGTATGCCTAACTCGCAGATAAACTTATTTAAAGAGTTTCCTTATAACTCAAATGAAGAACAATATACACAATAACCTTCACTTTTAACATCAAACTGGATCACTCACTGAATACTCGTAAAAAAACAACTCATTACTTCACTGATTCTTGTATTTATAATGTACCCTTATTTTCTACACACTCCATGAACTTTCTAGACGATTATAATATTATCATCATTAGTTCCCTCTAGCAAACATCTAAATTAAAATATTAAAAATATAACTTACAACAGTATTTATATTGACAGTCATGAAATGATATACAGTGCAGACTAGAATAGAATAAAAATGATATACTGTAAAAATATGCCCATGAAACAAAACTGTAAGTAACTTTATGTCCACTATATAATTGAATGAATATAAATCATTTGTTTAAAAACTATTAAAATAGTACCCAACAAAATGTAAAACTAGGCGATCCAATGACAAAAACTCATGACGACTACATTCAAGCTAACAGGGGTTAATTCACATTTTCACTAAGTCAACATTGAACAGACTATTCATCCAGAGGCATTTAATTTCTATGGACAGTTGTTATTCCAACTTTTACTAGTCAGATCAAAGAAACACATTGGACTCTTCAAAGCCTTTGTCAACTATTAACAGTTGTGTCTCATGAATTGGATTCTAGGAAGCAGATTACAATTAAAGCCTGTCTAAGAGATGTCTAATAAGATGACCAAAATATGAATTGGGATCAATTGCATGACTTTTTTAATCTCAGTTTTACTCTCCAAAACAGCTTACAAGTTACAAATAATTTTTGTCTAATGTGTTTCAAAAATTAGCATTTACAGATTTAATTTCTTTTGAAGTAATCAATCTTCTTAATGCCATGTAAAATATAATTTATTATGAAAACTTTTATACACAAGTACAGTTTATCAGCTTTCATATTTTAAGGAATACATCAGTTTATACAAAAGTACTTGTAATACTATTATTTATATGTTGATTGATCCATTACACCCAAATTTTTAAAATAAAGAATTTTAAGCAAGGTCATTTTAATACAATGTGTAGCTGTTTTCCTCTTATCACCAGTTTCCATTTTAAAAGGCATTACTTAACAAAGCACAGCTCAATTCAAGCAAGTAGCTACAAGTAAAATGACTACCTTTTCCATACCATAAAAACTCCCAAGAACAGAAATTTGGAATATAACCCTGCAGAAACAACTTTATTTTCAGTATGTTAACAAAACGTATGTTCCAAGTTTACAACTTTAGTTTTAAAGCATAAAATGCAGATTGCCAATCAATTAGTGTCTGAGATTCTACCATATTATTTTTCTCTAAAAACAGCATTGATGAAAAAAAATAGTTTACATGTGTTTTTTTGCTACTCATTTGACTCTATAAATCTGTTTCCAGGTTACAAGTTCTAACTAGAACGATTTGAAGCAACTTTATTAAAACTCATAATCATTTTAAAATAGATGCAAAAACCCCATTTGGGTTGGTTGATTTTTCTTTTGCATCATGTTGATTATTGTCAAAAATTAATTCATTTTGAAGAAATAAGCAAATTAGTAAAATCTATTATATTTAAACATTGTTTTCATGATTATGTGATTATCTCAAACTAACCAATATTTAAACTGCTTAGTTTCATGATCAGAAAAGCAATAAACAATGATATATGTAAATGTGTGGAACTTTTTCAAATTTTGCTGGGAACACTAAGTCATTAGTTTTCTCACATTGACATTTACTTTTTTCTCATTTCTTGTATGAAATCTTCAAGTTGTGAAATTACAAGAAGATGCCAAAGACTCACTTGAAGTTTACACTTTTTGAGTGAACTTTATAAAAATTTTACTGTGATACTACTACTAAAAGTTCTAACTAAACGTGTGGACATGATGATCTGCCATATTTTTCAGTGAAATGTAAAAATGTCTGAGAACTTAATAGAAGTAGATTCTAAATACAGATGTATGAAACTAAGATTGAACATGGAAGGTTTTAATTAGAATAACCCAGTCAATTGGAGACTGATAACAGTTTACAGAAAAACTAGTTGTACATTAATACATGTAGAAATAAACTTATGTCAGTCAGTTTGATTACATTGGTATCTTAAAATATGGTGACTAACAATTAAGATTGTATTTTAATCAGAAGTATAGAGAAAATAAAATGCTATGAAGCTTTAGCCCAATAACATACAGGCCACTCTTTAGCCAAAATGATACAATGAAGACTGGCCATTACAACAAACTCAAACTTTTCAAGTCAAGTTAATTTAGTTTATTCGTACAAGTCTGCTAAATGGCTTGTTCACTTGAAATTTCTTTAAAGGATTGTTTTCTTTCACAAAGAAGGCATCAAACTGATTTTATATGCTATAACACTTCATAGGAGAGATATATATACTTAGATCAGAACATCATCACAATCACTACAATGATTATATTATTACAAGAAGTATACAATTTAATATTTACATAACGCCAGTTTCAACTTTACAACAGATAATACCATAAAAAAGGGATGTTGAAACCTTGAACCTTGCTTACATGATAATTGACTGGTTGGAAAGTTGTTAGCCATTTACATAACTTTAACTACCAGATTTTATGATTTTCAGTTACAAGATATTGCATACAGAAAACAAACATGAAAAAACATTTTACCAAATTAGCATCTGTCTTCTAAATAAACAAACTCACTTTTATACCTTGCAACTTACTACATTACAAATAGCGTCATCAATATTTAAAAACTTGTAGTTTTATACTTTAAATATTGTATGAAGATTTTAGCAATGTAACTTTTTAAACTGGTATTAAGCATTTCTAGAGATCTTGAATTACATTTGCTTTTAATTGTAAGTGCTAGCACAAAGATTTGTAATAAAAATAAGTAATGACTGAATTACTGACTGTACATTCTTCAGTGAGAAATATTAACAACAGTTAGTCACTGAATGACTATTACATCTGTTGCCTTTAGAGCTTAATATATTTCCTCACATCATCTTCAATTTTTTTGAATTAAATAATCATAGTAACACTGAACTTGTAAGATAAGAAAAAATCAAACCAAATTAGATTACTCAAACTTCACTTAAGACTTAAGAGTAGTCCTGAATTATTGCTTTTAATCAAATAATTATGAACAAAGTAAAATCAAATGTATAGTGCCATCTCTCAAAACAAAAAAATAATTCACAATGTTTAAGTTGCAGGTTTAAATTAGGCAGTTCTCCATTGGAAACAATAGTCAGTTTATGATTGGTAATTGTCTGATGTAATCCTATGGCCTATTGAAAACAGTCAGTTCTTTTGTTTGAGAGGTGAAGGTGCTATACATCCAATTTTACATAATTGAATTTTATTTAAATACATATATGAACATTCTGCAAAGTAAGTCTTGTTTAATTTACATAAAGTATGAAATGCTATGAAAGATTTTCTATGATAAATGGCAAAAAAGCTAAACTACAATGAAAAAAAAGGAGGCTTACCATGGATTAAGCCTAATTAATCACTATAATGTGGTGTAGCTTTTTTCATGGGCTATTCATACCACTTCCCAGAAGCAATACATATCTTTATCACAAATTCTTATGTTATTCAAGTTCCAATTCTTTCTTAATTCTTAGTGTAGTTACAATTAGAAAATTCTGGTCCACATGATTTTCTTTTTACACTGATATAAATCCTGTTATACTACTATGTCACTATTGCAAATGATACTGACAACAGCAGTAAACAAGGGAACTTGTTTACTACAATTAACAGCAGCAATCACTCAGTTATCAACTGCTCCAAAATGTAATGACAATATTTAGATAATTTTACATCCATCTGTGAAGACTGACAGACACCTCTCTTTGACAAAACAGCAACACTGATAAACATTTGACTGAGTAATCCTGCCCCAAGATGGTCAGTATGTATATTTTCTTTGTAAGTTCACCAGCTTCACAATAAAACACAGCAGGAGTTGGTTTTACGGGCCTAAATATCAAACAAAAAAGGTTTTTATCAGGGTGGTTGGTTTTGACAACAAAACTTCCTAAGAATTCTTTGTTCTCAGGACAATCATTGTAAATGCTTTTCTTGTTATATGTCAAGATGTTCAGCTTTTGCAAACATTTTAACTATGTGTCATCTCCATATTCATAGCTCAAAAAAAAGCCAAGCTGCATTATGGATGAATATCAACTAAATACTGTACCAAATTAGATGATTTTGTTTAACTACTAACATACATACCAACCTTAATGTTCACATCATACTTAAGATTCTAATAATTATAAATCACATAGTAACTTAGTCAGTTAAATTAAAAAGGTTGGATCCTCTTGACCAATGTGTTCATATATGGGAGAATTCAATTTAAAGCATTGTATTAAAAACAATGAAGATTTAAAATAAATTCAAGTACACAAATCTACTTCAAAAGAATTAATCAAATAAACTTACTAGACAAAACTTTTTTATTGTGGGATATACAAAGTATAATATTTATGGTTTCATCATTTCACCAGGTTAACCTGGTATCATCAGGAACAACCTTGTGAAACGTTGTAACCATAAATATTATATTCTGTATATATGACAATAAATAAGTTTTGCATTACAGGGTACTTTTATTATTCATTTTATTAGACAAAACTTATAAAAGCAATAAAACATAAGGAATTAACAGTATTTTTTAACACCAAAGTCATGTGTAACAATGAAGTACCCTGGAGTCTTAGAGGAAATGGTTAAAAAAACACCTAAAATACAACTTTTTTGTCCCTTTTTGCATGTTCTGAATTTAACACTATTTTTTTTGACTTCCTCATTCCACAGTTTTAACCCATTCCTAAATAGGCCAGATCACTACAAGACAAATTCAGGGGGAAAAATGAGCCATCTTTTTTTATACACACACACACACAAAGTCTACTTACAGTTTTATAGAATGCTTTAGATTGGGAACTGAGTTCTTCAGACTTGGCAACTAAGTCATCTAATTTCTCTCCACGTTGTAAAACATTCTCTAGGGCATTATGCTATGGGAGTACCATTGAAGCAATATGTCAGGAAGAAAAAAATCAAAAAATCTCATTACTGCAAAGATAATGACTGGAAAGAAATTACAAAGAGTAAAACTTCAACATAAATGGATTGGTAATAACATACTGAATTAAAATGTGTATCAATTGAAACACACTGATGTGCAGTATTCAGTCATACCATTAAAAAAAAAAAAGAGAACTAACTATTCAACTTTACTTATATTGCATGGCATTAGCAAAGGTACCCATGTGGGTTGCAGAACTTGTTTCACTGGCTTGATACTGATGGCAGGATGGTATATGTTTACCAATCTTCAGCTCTAAGGAAGTAGCAATGGAAATATTGACAAGACTGTCACACTCAAACTTGTAAAAATAAGAAAATGAATAAAGTAAGGGGTTTTAGAATCCCTCTGGGGCAATGGATTCCAACTGCTGGTCCACAAACCAGTGCCTGCTCATGGAAACATTCAGAGAGAGAAAAATAATAATTATCAGCAATAACTAAAAATGTGTAATTCTTTCATATAAAAAATTTTAAAACCTTTCAAATTTATTTTTAATATCCTATGTATGACTCTCTGTACTTTATATTTAACAGTTCAAAAAGCCTTTTACAAAACTTTTGATAGTGTGTGGAGTGACAAATACTGAAAACCTTGAACTTAAGGTATACCCCAAGATTCATGGTGATTACAGTTATGGAAACTGGAAAATTTTTGTTATAGACAAACAATATAGAAACACAAGCCACATCATAGTCTAAATGTATATAAAGAAAGCTATCAGAAATTATAAGGCACAGCTTTAATTTTACATTTTGATTAAATGGAAATTAAATCTCTAATATTAAGAAACTCAAGTGCAATTTTTTCTTTAGTTTTTATTCTTTAATAAGTAAATATTTTAATGTCAGATTCGATTAACAACAGGTACATTGTAATTTTTAAGCAATTTCTTTAAAACAATTCACAGAAAAATTTGCTAATAAACAATACCCACATTTTTATATGGTATATAACACATATGCTGGTGAAGTGTGATCCATAGATCAGTAGTTTGTGTGATATTACATCATAAGAAGACTGATTGTAACTTTTAACAAGTCTTTCTTTACTAGCCCAATACAGTTTATCTGAAAGAAGAATATAATAACAAGTCAATCACACACTGCATGCCACGCAGCACTGCTAAAAAGGCCTTTTGTTCATTCCAGTTGGCTATCTATGCAACACACAAAGCCTTAGCCCAAATGGTGTTTATAACAATCATTTACAAAATATCAACCAACCAGATGAGTTCTGGTATTGAATGAAAAGCCTCAAGGACAGCAGTATGTAACACAAGGTGCTTGGTTGATAAGCTATTATATTCTTACTTGAAAACCATATACAGCTAGTGAAGAAAGACTTGTTAATTATCAACAGTTTTATTTTGGTGTAATAGCATAAAACAATCTAATATCTACATTTTATTTTAACTACTAAATGTATGTATGAATAATTATGTATTCCTTTGAAAAAGGTTAATATATAAAAATAATTATAAATGTAAAACTTCAACTTACTAATATAATTTTGGTTTCATCTAAGTCTCCCTGAATTTTTGTCATGGCATCTGCTTCTTGTGGATTCTAACAAAAAAACAATATTGCTTTTATTATTATTATGTACTCTTTAAGTTGTTTGTTAACTATTAAATAGTTTTTAAGAAGATTCCTTGCATTAAGCATACAGCTCATAATATAATAGTACATACAGAAAGAAAAAAAATAAGTCTCCAAATCTTTAGTCTGCAAAATAGCATCTGGTTGTCCTCTAAGAAATGTTTCAAAAACAAATTATTTACCATAATATATCTAAAACATGGAATATAAGCTAAAAGATTTTTTGCAGAAGATGCTGCTACACATAAATATAATATTTGAAAAAAAATTAACTAGTTCCAACAGTTGTAGAACATAAAAACTTACTTCTCAATATATTCAGTCAATTTTAAGAAACACACTGCGTGTGGTATTATTTGATTATGATGTTATATAAACAGTTTAAGTTTTTTTTTATACACCTATATAGCAGAACAATTTTTGTTTTGCAGCTGCTTTACATAATGTTAAAAAATAGGTAAATTTCTTACATCCTTATATATCACTAACTTCTTTTTGTAGATGTAAAGTTTAACTAAATGAATTACTGAACACTTACTTGATATTTTGTCAGGTAAACATCCAGATCATTGAAAGCAATTGTTCTGATAAAAGACAAGAATTAAAAAGTATTTTTATTTCAGTTTGTGCAGATGTAGAACAATAGATTATTTAGTTAAATTTTTTACGTGCATAATTCAAATGTTAAAACTATCATCATTTTCTAACTTATTTTAGAACTGTGATCAACCAAGCAAACTTACTTGCAAAGGGTTTATGCTATACTGATATTTATAATACCATACAATTTAGATGAATGGATTATTATTTGAATCTCACACAAAGCTATTCTTTATAGCTACCAGCTCAAGCCATCTCTAATTTTGAAGTGAGACACTAAAGGGAAGGCAGCTAGTCGACACCACCCACCACCAACACTTTAACAGTGGGATTTGACTGTTGTTATTATGCTGCATCCATGGCCCCAAAATGTAGAGCATGATTGTTTTTGGTGGTAATGGAATGAAACTACAGACCTCAGCTGTTAGTATGGCATGCTAACCACTGGGCCACTATTGGCCTCTCAATGAATAGACTAAACCAAATGTTAACAAAGAAAATTGAATGGTATAGAAAGAATAAACAATTTCACTTTACCTAAAACTCTGTATTGGTTCTTCACAAACCTACAATACTAAAACAAATATTGACTTCTTTTTTTGTGTTTTACTAACTTTCACACGTGTCCAGTACACTTACGAGTTTGTTCCCAATGGCCATGAGGTGACAGGAACCTTCTTGGAGAACTCATCCAAAACCTGATGATGAGAAATCAAAATAAACATTTTAGTCAAAAAGAGCAATGAATCTCACATACATCATTATTAAAAAAAAGAGAATAAAAATCAGGACCATACACAGATTGTTCTAATTTGTGAGATTGAAAGCCAACCCATATTGTGTGAGGCGTAATCAACATACAAAGCATGTTATATATTATTTTAAAACAAGTGGACTGTGTTGCTGTTTGTTTATTGTTGAAATTTATCACCAACAAGTCACAGACACCTTCTGTAAAGAATCCAGCCTACAAAACCTGACAGTAGCAATATGGCTTCAGGCTTCCAATTACAAAGTGTCAACAGGAGTCACTGAATGCAACTATTTCAAGCCAAAAAATGCTAATGTTTCATCAGAAGAATGTAGACTACGTAGAAAATGTTAAATACCATAAACAGATGTGCTATAACTATATAAGCATAATTTTTACATCACAAAAATAGGGGATTCAGCCAAACCCCTCAACATCTTTATCAATGTGCCATAAATGAAAAAATAGTACCCTGCCACTTTTTTGTAAATTTCAACAATGAGAATTAAAAAGAAATCACAGCCGTGTCTGAGACTTTCATGGAGAAAATGTCATTTATATTACAAGAACTGTTGATGCACAAATAAATATTTTGATACTCATGTAGTACACTAAGTACTGCAGAAACATTCACAATCAAATGCATTTTACAGTATTAAGTATTGAAAAAATAAATACTTCAACTTCACTATCATCTGGCAGGTATTTTTATAGATAAAATAAACAAATTCATGGCAGGAATTTAGGTTTAAACATCTTTCAAGCCACAAAAAAGATTTGGGGGCCTGAAAGACAACCAAGAGTGGTCAGAAACTTTTGCTTCTCTTCACCCCATTTGGTGAAAAAGTTAATACCAAACAAATTTTGATAGAGCCACTGGGCCTGGTTTAATTTTAACACATAGAGTGGAATGTTAAGAGACACATGGAGACAAGGAAGATGCTGACCCAAGCACGATGGTAGAGTCAGGAAGAGACCATCATTCTGTAGTTGGAGAGGAACGTGTATTTGTTTGTCCATGTGTCAATGATGTCAGTTGGAGAGAGTAGTCCATGAGAATTGTAGCAGACAAATACAGACTGAGTGAGCATGACTCTGTTTTAATAGATCTTATGCAGGGAAACTGGAGTGCCCAGAGAAAACCTGCTTTCATGGGTCAGGTGCCAATTAATAAAGTACCTAAACAATTCAAATTTAAATATATTTTCAGCAATACATTTTTCTCTTTTAACTTGTACAGTATGGGTCACATTGCATTTACAGTAACATTGAACAGAACTTTTACACACACTTCATAATGTTATTTGATAAAAAAACCTAATGAATATGATTTGAGATATACTCAACTATCTATGAATCACCTAACAATTTTTTCAGAGACCCAGTTTTATTATTTGAACTTTTAACCAATTTTATAAAATCATTCTTAGAGGGCTTACAAGCCCTATTTCCAATGCTTAAAAATATACAAGTTCTTGTGGCAGCTGTAGTTTTTCTCAACTGCCAAAATATAAGCTTAAAAAAATAAACACACTTTGATTAATATTTGACTCTAATAATTTTATATGTTTAAAATTGAAGATATTTAAATATTAATTCCCAAACACTTGAACTGATTACCATTTCTGACAATGTTAAATGTTTTGATGCATGATTCATTACAGACTTTGAACTTCTTGATTTTCCAATTAAAGAGGAGCTGGAAGCCCGTCATAGAATACTGTATTAACATTCTTGCTACAGTCTCAGTCGATTCAACAAAATTCATGACCCCAAAGTGACCATCAGAATTTCTATACTATAACTTAATATGTTTTCTATATCTTCATAAAATCTGGCAAGCTTTCAGTGAACATTACAAGATTTTTTTAATTTGTATTTTTACTAAATATTTGTCTATGAATATAAAAAGTCAAAGTGTTGACTGCTCCAAGTGCAAAGTAATTTTTATGATAAGTTTACAAGTTGTGAAATTTCATTTATGTAATTTCTAAAAACCCCTAAATAAATATAAAATGATTTTTTCCAGTAAAACTTTATATTTTATCAGTTATTTTCTCTACCCTCACTATACCCATTCTGTCAATTTGAAAAACCTTGTAAACAAATATGAAATAAATATAATTTATTCTTTTTTCTTTCTATAATGACTGCAAATTGTAACATAAAGCTACAATTGTTTATCCTAAATAGCTTAAAGTTCTTAACAGTATTTATCTGTTTATACTTAATTTTATTGTCCTTTGAACCATATATAACTAATAATCCCACCACATAAGTTCTAAATCACTCAGAAAATATGCAGCTCATATTACTGTATCAAATTACATAATGCATGAGCTGCTTGCGAGCAATTGCTCATGAACATTTTATGTTACTTTTCATTATCTTACCTAACTTAACTTTATATAACCTAATAAGTTTTTGATTTTTACACTTTAGTTACTTTTATAATAGTAGATAAATAACACACATGAAAAACAAGAATTATAGTACTTACCTATGTCCTTTTGTTTTTTTTTGCTTTTTACTGTCCATGAAACTAAGGCTACTTATTTTTAATACTAGTGGTACTACTATACTAGATTTTTAGTTAATTAAATAACGCACCTTAGAACACAGAATAATAACACACACAAAGCAAACAATGTCTTATAACTAGCATACTTTTTCTGGTTTTATAACTATGCAATAACGACCTCTAAAAATTCAGCTAAGCTTGTCAATGTGAATATCATGAGAAAAAGTTTCAAACTGAAAGTACAACAGACAATTCTCTGTACATAAAACAATGTATTATAGATTAAGACTTTTGTTTTCTATTAGTTATTAGAGAGACCTTTTGGCAATTTGTGAAAAAAAGAAGATGTGGTAAGTGAGCATGGCTCCATAAACAAATAAAATCAAAGGTTACAAAAATTATGCTTTGCCTAAGTAATATCTATATTATAATGAGTAATTTATGTTAGATTCCATACTTCTCTGAATGATGGTAAATAAATTAGAGAAGAGGGAACCTAGAGAGCAAGGGAGGTTAACGATTCTTTTAAAATATTTTCTTTTGAAATGTAGAACTTAAAACTTTTGTAAGATTAAAAATTGATTTATTAACTATGTTTTGATGCCAAGTTCATTTATATACAATGATAATAAAGTAGTTTAATTAAATTTTTAATGTAACTCTTTAAATATGCGACATATGCATTTTGTAGCTTATCTCTTTCAACCAGGGCTTGGTCCGTTGGACCGACCTCATAACCATTTTGTGCTTGTTATAGTTTGTGCATGCTATAACTTTTAAATTAGTAAGCGAATGTCAACAAAATTTGACAGTCTATCAGTAAACATTACAATGTTTTCATATGCAAAATATTAAATTTTTTTATTAAGTCTTATGGTTTCTAAAGCAATGTTTCTTTCATCCCTTTTTTCTTTTCACATCTTGCCTAACTATCATGCAAAGTAATTTTCATATTAACATTAGAAATACCTTTATGCATCAGAAAATTTCGAAATTTCACATGCGAAATCTTTATAATGTCCAAATAATTATCAAACATTTTTTAAGAAAAAACTATATTTTATCTGTTATTTTCAGTAATTAATCTCTACATGGGTTTGGTAAATTTGACTGATCTCGCAACCACCATAACAAATTAGGAAATAAATATAAATTATGCATCTTTCATTCTAGAATGAACACAAATTATAACATGAAAATGTAAATGTTTAGACGAAATAGCTTAAATCTCATAACATTATACATTTATATATATTTATTATTTTTATTATACTGACCTTTTCACCCATGCCTGGCTAACAATATAGAAGTTACAAAAACGTGCCTCACATGCACTCGTGTTACCGTATAAAATAACATAAAGGTGACCTTTGGTCTTTACAAAGTAACTTGTCTTGGCTGTGTTTTAGTCAACTTTCAATTATTATACATTATATATGTATATAGGTTATTGCTATTTTGAAATAAGTTTTAAAGTTATTTTTCCCAAAACATAGAATAGTAAATAAAGAAGTAAAGCAAACAATTATCTCTTCTAGTTACAACCTTTGTACTCGGTTGTTGCTTGCTGTAGGTTGCTAAGCCTTTAAAAGTTTTGCACGTGGAGAACATAAAACGAAGTATTTTTTTTTTAGGTTTTATATATACTTTTGAATAACTACAAAATCATAAATTACTACATCAATACCACAGAATTCTA